CTGAAACCCAAGTTCCCAGACACCAGCCGAGGGCCAACCTTGCAAGTAGGCTTTTCTAAGGATAGCAGTCTCACGCTCTTACAACTTAGCTCTCAGTTCTAAATCTCAAATTCTGGAAAGGTTGAATCTGACCCACCTTGACTCGTGTCTCTGGAATCCATGAACTTGTAGGCGGCAACATGGAGTGATGTAGCCATGGCCGTTGGAACCCACCTCCTGGAATGGGAGGGTGAAGCTCTCAAAAAGGAGGGACTCCAAGTGAGCAAGAAGGATCTACTGCAGCTCCTGAGGGATCTGGAAAACTTTCATCATGAGGGTTCTGTGACTCTGTTACAATATGCTGAGTCTCAGGACTTCATTCATTTAAGCAATAACACATATTTCTAGAGCATCTGCTCTGTGCTGGTCTCCTGGGTCGGAAGCATGCCTCCAATATTTCCTGTTTTGTTTTGAGGAAGGGTGTGTGTGTTCTGTTGTTTTCCCTCTTCCTTCAGGCTCCTTAGGGATTTAACTTAAATTCCTCTTTTTTTTGGCGATATCATGAGTTCTAAGCTGTTTGGGCAATACTATGCCTAACATAAAGGCATTCATTTTTCTGTTACAATAACTCTTCGATTTATACAGTAATAGGAAGCTTTATATTTTATTTATTTATTTTTAAAGATTTTATTGGGGAATTGGGGGAAGGGAACAGTGCTGGGGAATCGGGGAAGGGGAACAGACAAGTTGCTGTCCTTTTGNTATTCTTTAGTCTTAGTTGTAGAGGGTGCAGCTAGCTCAGCTCCAAATCCAGTCACCACCTGACCACCCATCGGCAGCTCGTAGCCGCTCAGCTCAAAGTGCCGTGTTCAATCTTAGTTGCAGGTGGGTGAAACCCACCATCCCATGTGGGAGTTGAACCGGAAACCTTGTTGTTAGCAGCACGTGCTCTCACCAGCTGAGCCATCTTGCCACCTGTTGGCAGCTCAGCGGCAGCTCAGGCTCAGCTTACTGGCCCATGTGGGAATCGAACCGGTGACCCTGTTGCTCAGAGCTCATGCTCCTAACCAACTGAGCCACTCGGCTGGCCCGTAAGTTTGCAGTCTTTTTGCTTCTGGTCATTCCATGAGCAAATTGCCCAGTCAAAGATCTCATCCAAATCTAGTTTTTAAGCCTGAGAACTCTGGCCTTTTATTTACTGCTTCTGTGTTCTACCCACTCAGCTCCCTAAATTTAGTGGTGCTTACCTTGAGATCAACCAAAATAATAGGCTTGAGTGGAAAGGCAATACCCTTTATTGAATCTTGAAGTCTCAGCTGGCTCCCCTTGTCTAGCAGAGAATGCTTATAGAAAGTACTTGAAGAAGAGTTTTGTCTGTTCTCTTATCTCCTGCTAAGACAGGCTCTTCAGAACCACTTTTTCTAACTACCTCTAATTTTCCAAATTAGCCAGGGTCTGCCTTCTAGGTACTGAGGCCACAGACAGAGAGTCCCTCTCTGTAGAGCGAATTTCCTGCCATCTCTTCTTGCTGGTTAGCTAGCTCCACCTGGACCTCATCATTCCCCCAGGCTTCCCTGAAAGCAGGAATACAGGCCGAGCTATAGGCTCCATGGCATGTAATCTGCCTTTCAGGATATCATAGGTGACAGTTTTACCAAATGTTTTGTCAGATAGCATAACAGTGCTCATCAGCTTTCTAGTCTGAACTGTCTGGGTCCTTGGCATCCACACTGCCTGACTGCTAAGCCAGTCATGCATTTTAGGTTCTGCTATGGCAGCAAACCACCGTGGTTACTAAATTCTGTATTAGATACGATGAGTTCAGGGGATATGCTGGAAATCTGGAATAACAGTGACTTAAGTAAGATAAGTAAACGTCTGAGCTGGTAGGACAGCTTAAGGTCAGTTCCATTAATCAGGGCAGGAGGCTGATGAGGCCCAGGACATGGTTTGATGGCTCTAGTTTTTTTCATGTTGCCTGCTAGTTGTCCTAAAAGGTACCATCTTGGCTGAGAGGAATGACTGAATTAGTGTGATGAATCATTTACGTAACTTTTCAGTACTGGCAAAGTACATTAAAGGATAAACCGTACTGAAAAATGGGCTCATGGCATCCTCCCACGTCAAAGGTGACATAATGAAGTGGGAGGAGTTATGGTCAGAGTTATAGTGTCTCCCTTCGCTTTGCCCTTCTATCAGCCTTCTTTCTTCATATGTTTATCGTGGCTAAAAATCATTACCTTCATAGGATGACTACATCACTCACTAAGACTTCCATTGTCTTAGGCATTAAAGAGATACTGAATTTGTTTCTAGTCACCTTTTGGATGGCAGTAGTTTCACTAGTTAAAATTTGACCTGTGGTGGCTATTACTAACAGTGTGTACTTTAACCTCTGTAAACCCCAATTTCCAAGTAAACTTGAATTTATTTCTCAACAATCCCAGTTTAAAATGGAGGTGGGTTTAGGGGTGGTGGTTCACAGGTATAAATTTCACTATGGAGGATTTTGGTTATAAAAAAAAANATATATATATATATATATATATATATGTTTATATGATTTGTTCAGCCACTAAATTTGGCCAAGTAGTCTGGTTAGAAATCAGATGTGAAGAAACAAAGTTGGCTTGTTTTAACCTGTGGAAATTGGCAGTATTAAGAGAAATACAGGGCTTTTATTACCAAATTCCTATTTCACACAGTCCTAAGAACTGTTAGATGGTAGTAACTATTCCGTTTTTACACTCAGAGACTGGCCTGTCTGTGTGAATTTTTTGTGGTTAATTACTGAAAAATCATTCTTGAACTTCTCTTTGGAGAAAATCCATTTTTTTTCTAGGATGCATCCTTTCATGACCCTTTTATCTCAGGAGGAATTATAATGGTAATAATGACAATAACAAAATAAATATTAGTTGTTATATACCGTGCACTTTTAAGAACTTTATATGCACTAACTTGTTTAATCTTTACAACATGGCTAAGGTAGGAGCTATGATCCCAGTGTTATAGGTAGGGAGACTGAGATTCATAACTTTACCAAGATCACACAGTAAATCGCAGAGCTAGGGCTTGAACTCATTCTTGTCAGCTGGACTCCAACACCTGGGTTCTTAACAAGCAATCCCAACCATCTGTGAGGATGTAGGCTGCCTCCCCATGCAAAAACAGGACTTGGTGCTGGGCTAATTACATCTGGGTGAAGTGACCCATGTCATCTGGGTCTTCTCTGCCTCAGGGAAGCTTGTGGGCTGCGCCGTCATCCACGTCAATGGAGACAGCCCAGAGGAAGTGCTCCGTGCCACACGACTGGCTTTTGAATACCAGCGCCAATTCCGAAAGGATGTGATTATTGATTTGTTATGCTACAGGCAGTGGGGCCACAATGAGCTGGATGAGCCCTTCTTCACCAACCCGGTCATGTACAAGATAATCAGGTACAATGATAAACCTTCGTTAATACGCCCTCTTTCCTGTAGTTTTTATTAGACACTTTCCTGGTTTTCCTGGGATGTGAAACTTCCAATGCTAAAACCAGGACAGCTCTAGGCAGACTGGGATGGTCCCCGTAGTCTTCAAACACTACATGTTTCCTTGATGAATAGACAAAGGGGGCAACTTAACCACCTTACTTAGCAGGTGGGAAGGTGGACTAGGAGGACTTAGAGCCTTGCCTGAAATCACTTAGTNGAGTATTCAGGGAAGAGGCTAAGAATGTTGGGAGGCTTGTTATTCATGAAACAGAGTTCCAGAGGTCACGTGGAAGTACTTGGGAGGAAGAGAGGGAAGGATATAGGATTGTGTCTGGTAGACGAAACCAGAGCAGTGAAACGAGGGTCTCAGAGAAAAGAGGTTGTCAGGAGGGTTGTAAGATGTGCCCAGAGGTAGGAGGGCAATGGTCCTCTCTTTCTGGTTCTGCCAGAATAGTAGATGTCACATGGTTGATGGTATCTCATAAAGGCCACTTCTTAAAAACATTCCTTCCTTGGCTCTCAGGCATTACAAGATCCTGGTTTTGCTCTTAACAGCCTCAGTCACTTCTGGGGGGCTCCTCCTCTTCACCCATCTCAAAAATTGTGGTGCTCCGTGAGTCTGCCCAGGGCCACTTTCTCAATCCACTTTCTCTCTGGGTGATCTTTTCCCCTTTCCATGGCTTCCAGGGTCATCTAAACACTCCATCATTAGTGGGATAAGTCCAATAGTAAATATTCAGGGTTATCATCACCGTTCACATAGCGATCTAGTGGCTCTTCGGAAAACATTGTCTTAGTGAATAAGCATCAGCTCACAGCGATCACTGATTCAGTGTCAAATGGCTCCCCAGCCAGGCTTTTAATGTTACTCTAGAACAGTGACATGGGAGTTGGCCCAAAAGAACACTGCTTTGAACATGGTCTTTCTAGATTTTAGCCACAAATACAAAGGTTTCCTACTCTGTAAAATAGCAATTGAGAACTTCATAACAGAACCCAGTGGCAATGTGTCCAGCCTGAAATCTGTTCATTTACTAGGATTGTTTGATTGGTTTATCAGACACAGTACAGGTCCTCCTAACTGCTGTATTAGTGCAAACACACCCTTTTTCCTTATGCAGTACATCTGTTCTCTCCTCCGAGCCGGTGCCCACAGGTACACTTGGCAGTGCTCTGAATACAAACCCAGGCACATATGTAAATCTGAAATAATTGCATGACAATACATGTTCAAAAAAAGGGTCATTAAAATTTTCAAAATATACGAACCGTTTTCCTTGGTTGCTGACAACAAAAATGCAAACTTTAAAAATGTTCAGAAAAATTTGTGCCCTCAATATCAGACCTGTTCATCTTCAGAGATTTGTGCTCAGTTTGTGTAAGTCTACCTTGATAGACTGAAGGTTAATTGAGTATGGGATGAGGAATTCCCTGACC